CTTTCGTCCAACGTTCCCTCGCCTTTTGACTTCAAAAGCGTTCTTTTCAGGGTATCGACAAATCTTTCTGCTTGGCCATTTGACTGTGGATAATATGGTGCTATCCTCACGTGCTCGATTACATTTTGTGCGCAAAACTCGGGCGAATTGATAGGGACGTAATGACGTAATGACTCACCATCCCAAGGAATGAGCGCAACGTTGTGACATCCGTTGGTGCCAGTAGTCTGTCTATGGCCTCGATATTTTCAGGATCAGGCCGTCGACCGTTCACGTCAATCACGAAACCCAGGAACTTGATGGATTTCAGGAAAAATTTACGTTTGTCAGCTCGCAACCGGAATCCATATTCCTTAATTCTCATCATCACGTCATCCAATCGTTGAAACAATTTTCTCCTGGGTTCCGCCCATTATGATGACATCATCTAGATAGGCTGCTGCTCCAGTCAAGCCAGTCAACATAGCGTCCACAACTTGTTGAAAGATTGCAGGTGCAGTTTTTACTCCAAATGGCAAACGATTATACTGGTAAAGGCCGCGATGCGTGTTGTTTGTTAGCAGCTTTCTGCTTTCCGGTTCGACCTGCAGTTTCAAATAAGCGTCTGCCAGATCCAGAGTAGCAAAGTACTTTCCTCCATTCAGCTTTGCAAACACGTCGTCTGGGAGTGGAAGCGGGTATTGATGGGGTTCTAATGCAGCATTCAAGCCGGTTGAAAAATCTGCACACAAACGAACTGAGCCATTCGGTTTTCTGATCACAACGATAGGCGCCGCCCATTGTGAGAAACTGACTTGCTCGATCACTCCGGCCTTTTGTAATCGATCAAGCTCATGCTCCACGAGTGCTTGGGATGCGTGAGGGACTGGACGTCTGGGTCGGAACACTGGCTTTGCCTCAGGAAGCCGGGTAAGCTTTGCCTGCATTTTCGTGCAATGTCCAAGCTCTGGTTGAAATACACATGCATACTTCGTCTGAAATTGTTACAACTCGGCAGTGGGTTTCCTTATGGCCAATCCGTCTGCACTTCTGACATTGGTGCGTTTTATATGTGCAATCTCTCACAAAATGCCAGGAGCCACAATTCCAGCATGCGGTCTGGGGCTTCGGAGTTGATCCAGTTCGATTCATTCCTTTACGTCGGATAGCTGTACGACAAATTTGGGGTTCAGTTTTGTGATCAGCAGTTTCAACCATTTTTGTATCGTGCTTCAAATTAATCAGCCGCTGGCATTCTGTAGTGATATCTTGCAACGTCAGTTGTGGTTCCTGTTCAAGCTTGTGTAAAATTCGTGTGCGAATATCGACATCAGCGTGGGACTGGAGACTGCACACAAAAATAAGACTCAAATTGATCCGCAGTCATCGTGCCCAGTTTGAATCGTTCACATTCGCGGTTCACAATCCCAGCATGAGTGACAAAGTCATGAACATTGCGTTTGACCAACTTCAAACAATTGTACCGAATGCTGAACAAAGAGGCTTGCTCACTGAAGATCTGCATCAAAGTTCTCACGGTCTCATCAAAGCTGAAGTCCCTTGCGTTTTTCGGCAACACGAAAGTCGTTGCAAGCGTTTTCTGATACCGTCCCTGGTGCGAAAGGGGAAGACGCGCCTCAGTCGTTCTAAAAGGATATTTAAGGAAGGAGACGTAACCGCAAAACGTGAGGCTGCTACAAGTAGGGATTTGTCATCCCTGGCTGACCAGTTGTAAGATTGCCTCGGTAGTCGGGCTAGACAGTCTGCATTGTAACTGACAGGATGCTGATGTCTCCAATGCTGAGACAGGCCATTTTTAGTCGAAAACGTACGGTGACATGTTGGGCATTCGAAACTGGAAGTATTCCTGGCAGCGGCTGTGGTAAGTAAACTCGTAGGGTTCCTTAGATGAGCCGCCAAATGGCGCCGCAGGCCGCTCCTAGATTTAAACGTCCTCGAGCACAGCGAACAAGAGGGAGGCTGGAGTAGGTCAGAGATCGTCGCCGGATCGGAAGCGGGAGATTTGGATGTTGATAAAGTAGCTTCGGCAGGAGAAACTCTTCGTCGTGGTGATGGCAGCAACTGAGGGAGGCGATCAAGTAGTACACATGGTTGTCGTGATCCCAATGTTAGGGCTATGGGTGATAAGGGTGAGTGTGTGGATGAAGGGTGGACGCGGTTCCGAGAGCTGGCTATGGAGTCGGCAGAGGCCGGTCCGTTTGATTCGTTGAAAGAGCAACCAGAAAATCCACTGCTCTGACTCTGCAGGGCAGGGGATGAAGGGAAACAGCTGGGAGCCTGCGCCGCGGGCCGTTCATAGGCCCCTATCCGCGGCTGGAATGAGGGGGGTGCATGGAGTGGGGCGTGTATAAAATGGCATTCGGGTCATTGGAGGGGTTAAAATCTGGGGCGTTGGTGATAAGAGGGTTGTTGGGCGATCCGGGACGACAGCGGAGGTGCGAAATAGCCGGCTGGCTACGAGTAAAATATTTCCAAGTATAAAGTACTTCCAATTCTTTGTTGCTGTCAGAGGCAGATGATAAGCTGGATGATGTACGAGAGGATGCTGAGCCGGTAGAAGGCGCAACAGGAGCAGAGGGGCGATGTGATCGATTCTCTGGAGTGGGTGACGCGGTCTCTTTGGATGCTAAGGATATCACAGGAAAGCTCGGCGTGTTTTGCTTCGGACTGTGGTTACTGATTGTGTCCTCAGTAATATTATCGGTTGCACTCGTCGTGGGTGTTAACGACTGTTGAGGTTGGTGGCGATGAAGGCGGCGGCCTGGAGGGCGTTTCCATTTTAGAAATTGGGGCAGTTTCCTTATTGCTGTCATCGTTCGGAAGGGGAGTTTAGTTTGTAAAAGTGGAAGAAGCTGCGCTAGTGAAGATACAGATTCGCCTAAATGAGCTGCGTGCAGTAATGACTGAGCATCTTCCTCCGCAGACCAGTGTACTGAGGATTTGGCCACTCGGGATGACAGCATGTCTTGGTAAATAGTGGGGTGTGCCTGGCGGCAGTGAGTGGTAAGCGCTCTTGCTGAGGCGAATTGACGATTGCATTGTTGGCATGACAGCACCGGAGCACCGCGCATACGTAGATCGTTGGGATGTCGTTTGTGGTATCCGGTATGCCGAGTAAGACCAGCAGCCGTCGAGAAAAGAGCGTGACAGATATTACAGGTGTAATTTTGCAACATAGTGTGAGGAGTCTAAAGTATGGCGGAGGTTGTAATTGTTGGTTGTGGAATGTTGTTTGTTACTCCGTCGATGTGCAGTGATGGGGAATTCATATTTGAGATGTGTGAGTGAATATGTGCACGGTGCATGAATCCGCAGTCGACTAAAAGAGACTATCCATAGGGCTCAGGCCACAATAAGTGAAAAATAGGAATAAAAGCTAAAGCAGAATAGGGGAAGGGAAATGGTGTAGGCGAGAAGGATAATGGAAGAATTTACAGAATGCACGAATTACCCCAAGTAAAATATGATTGAGATCTAAACACGAGCATAAAAATTCTCTAGCTAGTCGGTCAGGTCAAATATTGTTCGCAGCATGCGTAAAACGACAAAAACTGACAAATAAAAAATAGCGATTACCAGAATACTCCCGAAAAATACCAAGGTAGGTGGACAACACTTGAAAGCTCAGAAAAATACCCCTACTTCAATCACAATTTATCAGCAACATCTGTAAAACATCAAAAAATAAAAGCCCCTCTAACAACGTGAGACCCATGACGATCGTAAAGTGTTGGCGAAACTTCGCCCAATTAAGATGAAAATCAGGCATGCGGCGTCAATGTGCAATCAGTCAATAACACTATAGGTCAGATAGGCCGGCAAAATCTTTGTAGTGTTGATCAAAACTTAGCCTAAACTGACGAGAAGCTATTGGGGGCGATCAATATCAAACGTCGGTTCATCAAAAGGAGGTTCATCAAGAGGAAGCTAAAAGTTTGGAGTTTTCTAGGAATACAAACCAACATGCGTAAAAAAGACTTTGTAAAAAGCACAAGCAATGTATATAGTATACAATAACAGCAAAATAATTGTATGTACGCATGTTGAAGGTATAAAATTCCCTTAGAGAAAATCCTTATAAAATACATTGCAGTAGGAGGCTCAGCCGGAATATGATATTTAAAAGACAAATGTAGGCTAATCCCACGAAATTCATGAGCGTAAGATGACTTAAAAGCAAGAGCATAAAAAACTACATAAGATGGATATAAAATGTAAGAAAAACGTGGCCCAAACCCTACGGAAAAACCACTTTAGTCAGACTCACGGTACATGTTGGACAAGTGAAAACATTTGTCACAGTTTTTGTAAAAACAGTTGTGAATTTGTCCAAAATTCTTGTTTCAGTAAATTCAGTGCACAGTTTCCAGCAAAACAGTGTATGATAATCCAAATTCCGTTGAATTGGCAAGAAGAAATCACACAAAACTGCCGGAGCACGGTAAACACGTCCACCACACAACTCGGCTCGTGCAACATTGCTTGCTCCCTTTGCCCTTATATGGTGGTAGCGCAAGGACATCATTCAGCTCAGGAGGCACCTCCTCAATCCATACGCGTTGCACCAAGTGGTGCAGCGCAGTCAACAACGCGGGTTCACCCTGTTTCAATACTTCAGGCGGGATCCCGTCTGCCCCGTCACACTGGCCGTTTCGCAGCTGAGCAAGTGCTCTCTGCGTCGCATCCGGCATTGGCGTGTCCGCCAGACTCGCCTTCACCTCTTGCTGCTTCAGTCCGTTCAATGTAGGCATGTCGATCTTTGAACGGCCGAGCGTGTTCGGCGCCTTGTTTACGGCACAGGAAAAGAAAATGAGCCGCTCAGCACCGTTGTTTCACACACCAGGCTCCGATGGCTCGGCCACGTGTTACGCATGTCAGGCCACCGAGTCCAGCGACGTGCATTACTTGCACGCCGGGGTGTGGATGGAAGAAGAGGAGAGGTGGCCAAACGATGGCTTGCTCGAGAGGAATGATGGCCCTCACTTCGGAGCTGGTCTCGGTTGAAGCGTCACGGCTCCTTGGTTGGGGTCCGAAAGACGATGAAGACGTTTCGCTGGATACACTTGTTGATATGGTTAGGAGTCGACCTCAGTGGCGTTCATGCTGTGAGTTTCTTTGTCCCACCCCATCCCTCTTAGCCTCCCCCTCCAACCACGACATCATTATTTAGCCTTATATAATTTTGCATAGTAATTTTTTTGATGCACAGTAACCGGCTGGTAGCTTGGCGGAACGATGCCCATCCGTTACCGGTAGCGCATCCGGCTTGCACCAGTTGCAATTTCTCTCTCCTCTTTGCTTCTATGTATTGCGGCACAGTAGCTGAGGTGGTTCCCACCTCTAGCCAACGTGTATGATGATGATGATGTAGATCGGTATTGTATACTGAAATCGTAAGCAGTACGGTTGCACATCTCTGTGACCTATTGCCATGAAAACAGGAATACCCTCCTTGATCCAAATATCGAGATTAAGGGTTTGTCGTCCGTGATTAGTTTGAAGTGTTCACCATATAGCATCTTGTGAAACCGGTTCACTGCGAAAACAACCGCCAACGCTTCCATCTCATTCTGGCTGTAATTTTTCTCCGCCACTGTCAGCGACCGTTCTTAGTGCGCAATGACCTCCTCCTGGGAACAAGTGGGAAATGATAGCATCTACCCCAAAATTGGAGGCCTCCGAAGCAACAATAATCTGCAAGATTGGGTTGAAGTGGGTCAAAAGTAAATCAGAACTAAGTGCTGCCTTAACTGTATCAAAAGATTACTGGCAGTCCTTTGTCCATCGTCATTCTTTCCCTTTCATCAGCAACTCGTTCAGAGGACCACTTGTCTGATGTAGACTTGGCAGAAAAACACTATGATGATCGTGATCGTAATGTAATGACCGTGACCGTAATGACGTAATGATCGTAATGACCGTAATGTTCGTAATGACCGAGGTCCACTTAGGACCGAGTTCTGAATAGAGATTGCGAGTCGCAATCCAACCACACAGCGAGTACACCAAATGCCACTTGGAACACTTTACCGCTGTGCCAAACGTTGCTCGCGGACCTAGGAGCCATAGTGGTCAGGGCGCCAACCTTTGAACACTATACCTTGAGGTCCACCCCAGCTCAGGGTATCTCCAACTGATGAGTGCAAAGGAGGACGAAACCGGTCATGGGGTCTCAGGGTTGGGAGGAGCAACACCGAACCACCAATTGTGGCAAGGTGATCTATTTGGGTTTATCGCTGACTAGCTATAGGTGGACGCCAAGTGGCACTTCGGCGTCCACTGTGTTTAAAAGCGATGCTACTACTAAACAACTGGTGCACCACACACAACTGTAACAGACGCTCACCGATGTCCGTACGGTCGGAGTTAAGTCCATTCTTACCACCTAGCAAAGTTTCTGAAGAGCTCAGACGACCTATTTGCGCTATCATATCCCCGGCAACAACAATGATATCTGAACTGGTAAGACTGCGTAGTAGCCGGTGGCCGAGTGGTCTGCGCACCTGGTTTGCAACCATAAGGTCCCCGGTTCGAATCCGTGTAGGGGTGGGCGTCCTCGCGGTATACTCAGCCCGCGCGCGACTGGTGGTGGTCGCGCGGCAGCGAACCGCCGTTACGGCGTATAGCTAGCACATTATTATTATTAGCTTGTTAAATTCGTGGTTGAAGGCGTCCTTCGCATCATCAGAACCGCAGTCGGTATGGCATAAGCGGAAACCAGAAACAAACAGCGTCTAAAGCTGCTTCGTGAATCAATCTTAGCTGATGTTGTCAAACGGACCGCACATAAATGGCTGGTCATATGAATCCAATTAACCAACGATGACTCAGCCTTTGACCTGAGAACGATGTCCATTCCAGCGGCATCAGCGTTTCCGAATGCGTACAACCAATAGGGCCCAGTTAATTTGACAACCCGTGAGGGTCACTGATTCAAGTTCCAGAGACACGAAACTCGTCAATATTCAAGGGGAGCGCGATTGCAGCCTTTTGACCTATTTGTCTTCGAGTGCGAAGATTAAACGCCACTAGGGAAACGGGACAGTGTAGTCTTATAAGGAGCTGTTGACGATTGGCGTCCAGTGGGTGATGTGGGAAGGTAGCTGGAAATGGTAGAAGTGCAGTGGCATTGCGGCTGCTGTCAATTAAGCTGGGAATTATAGATGGAAGCTGTGGGAAGGGAGCAATAGAAACGAAAGGAAAAGGAAGAAGTGAGGCGCCAGCAGTGGCATGTTTGTGTTCGTCCACCCTGCTGTGTGTAGCATATGAAGCGGCACTTGTAAAGCTGCGCGACGGCCGATAGGGGATGTGCTTGAATTTTGAAAAAATAGTCATGGTTGTATGTGAGCTGAGCTACTGTCAGGACGTCCAGACCTGAACATGAGAACGATTAGGGTCCTCAGTCAAAGCGTTTAGCCCAAAAGTCTATCCGCAAAACAACGGAGTGCCAACGATTTGGTTGTACAGAAATGGACGCCATCCCATTTGGAACCGCAAACCTGGAGGACCAGGAGACTGAGTTTGTCTGACCTATAACCATTGATCAGCCTGGGGGAGTGTCTTTCAATGGGCCCGAGGACCCCACCCAGTATAGCTCAGTGGGTCAAGGAGGTGCTCAAACCGTCGCACCATGTTAAGATTAAGTATTGTTGCGACGGTTGCACGTAGCTGTCTATACTTAGCATCGATGCCGTTCCAAACTGCAGCTTGCAACAGACCTTTAGATGCGCGTAATATGTTAACAATGTCTACAAATCTAAGTTGCCTTACTCCAAAAGACCGCTTACCATTGCTTGTATTTCCACGGTTGCGGAAATCTGAGTTGCTCCGGTAGGCAGCCAGTACATTTCCGAATGGATCTGATGCAGAAATTGCTGTCAAGTCAGTCGCTTTTCACACAATGTTGTCATGGATATCAGGAAATAGGCATTTTAAAGCGATATTCGTCATCTAGACAGGCGTAGGTACATCTGCCATATACTGTCGGGAATTCAGGGCATCTCTTTCTTTATCAGTGATGTTAAATATTTGAAGAGATAGCATTTCCGGTAGTTAAGGCATCTGATGAGGTAGAATACTGATGAAAAATGCTGGAATAACTGTCAGTGTTTGTTCTTCTGGGGGCATCTATCTCCTGCAACTGCGCAGGTGGATTAGTACCAGTACGATCTTTGGC